TCCCTTTCCCTCCCCCTCCACTTTATCTCTTTGTCCCCTTCCTATTTATGTCTGTAGCTCTACTTCCCATTATCTATCTCTCATGTGGAGACTCTGGCCAAAAAAGTGATTCAAATAAGGGCAAAAGCAGAAGGGACTTTCTGGACATAGCTCAAGACTCCTGGGTTGCATGATTAGAGTTTACAGCAGAACCTGCAGGACAGCAGTCAGCAAAACTAAATGCGGTTATTGTCTGAAATGTTTTCTCTGGCTATTGTGTCCCTTCAATAAGATTGCTTAAACTGGGCCAATATGCATCACACAACAGCCCATCCCATTCTTTCCCTCACCCCTGACCACAGTTCCTTTACAAAAATGTTGGAAGCGCTTTCCTTCTAAATCTTTGTTATCAGGTAATGGAGTTACAAATGAGGAACTGCAGAGGTCAGAGGTCTCAGCTCTGGGTTGTTTCTCTGAGACTCTCTTATGCTGCAGAAGCAGCCTCTCTGGGATCCTGGTGACTGAACCATAGCTCATCTCTGAGTAATCATTTTCATCCTCTTCACATCCTCAGTCACAACTGTGACAATCTTTCATTTTGCTCTTTTTTAAAAAAAAATATTTATTTATTTCTCTGTGTGTAGTCAGCTCAGCCCACCAGGGGGTGGGGCTGGCTGGCATGTGGTGCTGGGGGATTGAACAGGGGTCCCTGTGCTTTGCTAAACTTGTTCTAAGTAGGTGCTTTAGACCACTGAGCCATCTCACCAGACCCTCATTTTGCTCTTTAGCTATACTTTGTTTCTGTCAAAGACCCAATGTATGTCACTGAAACAGTCGTGTTTATTCCTTTGTGTTTTCTTTACTACCAAGTAGTCATAAAATGTCCCTGGTGCACAGCAAGTGAAAACAAACAATTCTCAGACCAACTTTAAGGAGGACACATAGAAAGACATGAATATCCTCTCATCTGGCAAAGTATTAAGTATTGCCTACCCAAAGCTGAGTGCTTGAACCTTCGGAGCTTTTTAGTAAAGGATCATTTAGTATTTGAGAAAACAAACAAGGGCAGCCAGAAAATAAATTGCACCAACCAAAATATAAATATTTAAAGGTAGTCACAATTTAATATGAACTCTTGTATTTGACCTTATCATGTATCAGCTGTCTGAAATATTGACGATGGGGTGTGCCAAATTTCAAACTCATGACCTCCTGCTTGCCAGGCAGGCAATGTGCTCTTGAGCTATAGCCCTGGCCTTGAAAATACTATGGATTCAAGAATGGCACAAACTTCCCTTCT